GATCCTCGGTGTTCTCCTCACACGAGAGAAAAACAGCATGGGGTGCTTGCCCTCTCCGTTGCAACGTCTGTCTGTAATTTTGCCAGTCACGATGCTGTTCAAAATGTCGCGTTCGTAGCGTTATCGTGGAGCACAAGTGAAAGCCTGTACGTTATACCTCGTGTCGGCATCGCGTTGGGCACCAAGTCCTTGTCTCCAACATAAACTCAGTGAATATGAATTATCCGTGAACATGCGGGTTTTCTATGGTTATTAGACCGATGTGCCTTTGATGTGCTTCGTGGGGGTCGACGGAGCTGCTCTGTAGTATTTTGTATGCCCTGTACATTGCGATTTGCAACTCCTTCGTCCTGTAATACTTGTGTTGACCCGTCTGACGCGTTCTCGTTGACCGAGTTGCTTCCGTCCTTCGGCAAGTCTGTCCAAACTTTTCTTGTCTTAGTTCGAACCGATTGAGGGGGCCATCGCTTGCGCCGATCTTCGATGATTTATTCCTCTTGGCCAAGCTCTGTGGGCTCTTCCAGCACCGCGCAAGCTGCCGCCGCATCGTTGGTACGATACTCGTTCCCCCTTCACGTGAACTAAATCAAACCTCAACAAGACGATAGCGTCGCACCTAGTGGCCGAACAGCCGCAAGTATGCCATTCATGCAGTTATTGGTAAACTCACAGGAGACTATTAAGTGTAGGGCACGCGCGATGAGACCTCTGGGCGAGAGACTTGCCAAACTCGCAGTGGTTCCCCCAGTACTCTGGCGGCGACTTCGTAGGTTCACCACGACGGTCTAGAGTCGCCACCTATTTATTGAAGTCCATTGCAATACCAACCGCGGAGGACACTCCTGGAGCGTGGCGGCCAGACCAGTGTGAAGGGCCTTGCCAAATCCGCACGCAAATCTATACATGTACAACAATTTGGCCAACTAGTTTAGTTGAACAATGGCGACACAGGCATTTCGTGCCATGGATGTGAGGCATGGTTTGGGCGAGGCTCGACATCGAGCTGCTTGATCTTGTCATTTCCGGCGCAAATGGCCGGCAGTGGCATCGAGCTCAATACGACTGCATGTGTCAGCGCCTACTTCGTGATGCGCTCGCTCACACGAACAAACCGTGAACAGCAAGTAGGCGTGACAATGTAGAGGTTAGTGACAGTGCTACAGTATGTGTTAAGTGATGTTATGGGCTTGCTTCCTGTCATGGAGCCCTTCCGTTGCGGGGTGGTGGTCGGAGATGTCGTCATCGAGTTGGTCGTGTTGCAGTACGGTGGCGTACCCTTCCGGTGGCGCGGCTGGCGCCGCCGTCGTGGCTTTCAGGTACGAGTACCACATGAGGCCGATCGTGGCCACCATGAGCCCCGCACCGTTCACAGCACTCAAATGGTCTTGGAACACAAGCATCGCCATGAGAATCTGCATCACGTCTTTGAGGTTTCCTGCAATGCCAAGGGACAGCGCCGACGTTTTCTTGACGAGTTCGACTTCGACGTAGATGAGGACAAACGACAGGACTCCGCCCGCAATGAGGAAGAGAGAGCACTCGAGCAACAACCACGCGTCTTGCACGAACAAGGACGACGACAGCGCCGGGCCATCCACGCAAAGCGCGATCGGGAGCAGGGACAGCGCGCTCACGGGAGCGATGTGGTACACCACGGTCAACGACCTAGGAAAATGACAATGGTATTCCGGAATGTATGTCTTTCAGTAAAACGAAATTGCATTTAAAAACGTAATAAAACAAAAATGGAAAAAAGTCAGTGGTGGAAAACAGAATGATTGTCAGTCATACTTGTCGCAGCGCGTGTTGAGTTGGTGCATGAAGAATTGCGTGAGGACCCAGCGAAGCGTCCCCAAGATGGACGCGGAGAGCACCAGGACAAATCCGATCATGACGAAATGGACGACACCGTAGCTCGCGAGACCGATGCCGGCAGAGATGACGATGACGACGAACAGCAGCGACGGCGACAACCGTTGCAGCCCGAGGAAGATGGAAAAGACGAGATTCCACACGTTGCCACCAGACTTGACGATCGTGAAGAATGACACGGTGATGTATCGGAGCGACATGCTGGACATGACGATGTCCGCGCCGGTGAAGAGTCCGATCGGAAAGCATAGTCTAGGAGCGTTGCTAGCACACCCACAATAATGCACTGGATCGTACCGCCAGTAGTTACGCGGGGAGACGACCGCTATGGACGTGGGATGCCGCCACATCATGATACGGGTGAGCACCGACTTGATCGACATGTGGATCGCTCCCATGGTAAACACGAACGGAAACCCGCCGTGCCAAACTTTGACAAACCACTTGTTGAACAGAGTCATGCTGATACTCATGGCATACCACCCGAGGATGCAGATCGCAACGTCGAGTAGATGAATGAGGCGAACTTTCGTTGCTGGAACGAGGGTAGATCGTGTCTGCAGCCAGAACTTGAGGAGGATTAAGGTCGACGCGACAAGGAACAGACCGAGGCACAAGTACATGAGCGATGTCGTCATCGCCCCGTGCTTTGAGGACGCAAGCAGTGATGCCGTCGCAAGTGGTTCCACGACGGTCGATAACCCTGTGTCATTCAATGCTTGATGCATCCACTCCGTCACGGAGGCGCGGCGCGACATCCGCGGCGTCGAACGTTAGTTGTTGGAACGACGGTCACGTCAGATGATGGAAATTAAATGACGAAAATTGGGTAAAAATATTGAGAAATTTCCCAATTTCAATTTTCACAACCTCCATCCCACGACGGCTGCCGCCGCATGCGTGCAGAATATCCACCAAGACAGAGCGTCTTCGTGTGATATCTGTACACTAGCTGACTGTGAACTTGATATCGAGTGCCCACGTGGCTTGAATGTGTTGGTGATGGAGGGCGGCGGTGGATTGCGTGGCTTTTGCGGCGAGTTTCTGCCGCTGAACTTCCTTCACGTGGGCTGCCTCACATGGTGACGAGCAAAAGTCATGGCCGTCCTTGTGCACGACGGCTGCCTTCTATGAGACACCACGTCATCGTTCTGCTCGAAGAACACACTTGGTTGTGTACCAACGGTTTGAAGCACTGCCAGCACACCGTCGCCAGGGTGCTTGTTGGTCGTGTAATTGTTTCGGTCGCGATGTGGGAGACTTCTGTCGGCTTTTGTCCGCGCCATTCATGCAGCGCTTCCAAGAATGACTGGTGGCTTTCGTCTTCGTTGAATTCGGGTGCATCCGGCTCGTCGGCCGCGTGGTGGATCAAGGCAGCACTCGTTTCAGTTAGGCACTCAATCCGATCGCGATGAGCATCGTCTTGCAGCGCATGCACCGCTTTCATCACTTCCTGTGGCGTTCATGACAAGATGATGCAAGGCAACAACTGAACCTTGCGCTGTTTCAGGGTTGTGATTCCCATCGTAGTCAGGTTGTCGGCAGTCAGCGCCATCAAATACGCTCCTGCCAACGAAAAGCTTGACCCACACGTGTCTTGGACACGAAACGTACCCGTTGCTCGAGCTTGCCGAAAAGCAGCCTCATGGCCTCCCAGGTGTGCATGGTGCAGCCACGTTACAACGTCGTCCACCGTCCAGTCCGGAACACGTCGTGTTGGGGATTCCCCTGCTTACAATGCGACTGAGATGCCATGCATTCATCGGCGTGAGCAATGCCACGTACTGGATGCTGCCGGCGGGCCGATCTCGGGGCGCAGGACTGGAGTGGGCATCGGCGTAACTGCTGCGACTGTTGGACAATACGCCTCCACCCAACGACGCCATGAACAACGGCCCCGAACACGACCGCGGTGTGCACATGACGAGCCGTTGCCTGCGATCTGTTTACGCATTCCCATCGTATAGACTGGCCATCCCTGGACACGTCGTTCCTTCGAGCGTGCGCTGACGCGAACGAAGTACGTCTTGGTACAATGTGCATCGTGATGACTCATGTCCACAGCGATCGCTGCAAGAGATGCGACGCATGGAACTCCAACGCGACGACATTCGAAACAACTTGGGCATTTCCAAAACCACGATGGCCGAGGTTGGACGCGCACGTTGGACATTCGAGGCGATTCTCACCCAGTCCGTGAATGCAGTGGACAGCCGAGCACCAAGCCCTCGTCGCCAGTGGCGCGCTAGGAGCCCCCACGCATCGCTTGGGAACGCCATCTTCCTCTTAATAGATCTCGTTGAGCGCGAACCATCCTCGTCCTACCCTTCCTGTGATCTCGTCGATTTTTCTGTCGTCGTGTGCAGAAAACCACGTCCGATGCAGGCGCTGTTGTCATGGCGATCCCAGCGCCAACCAGCAGAACAGCGGCCATCGTTCACAGTGTTAAGCTGACAGTGTGACGTGGTAGATGACGTGTGAATCATCCAATTCGCATCCTGCTCACTCCAACGTCATGCATCTCTTGACCGTCGCCGCCGATGGAATGCATCGGCTCACCGTCCGCAGACTACTATAAACATTGGTTCATTCGATTTACACGTCCTTCTCGCCCGACTCGTCGATTTCGACCAAGAGTTCCCCGGCCTTCAAGCTGTCGCCGACAATAACGTGGAGTTCCTTGACCTTGCCCGAAACAGGGGCGGCCACCACCGTCTCCATCTTCATCGCACTCAACACACAGAGCGGTTCGCCTGCTTTGACTTGCTGGCCGCGTTGGACTTTGACTTCGACAATCACACCAGGCATGGGGGCGCCGACCGACCCTGGTACGTTCGGGCTCGCTTTGAGTTTCTCGACCTTGCCAACGCCGGCGTTTGCGTCGGCAACCTTGATCACGCGCTGGCGACCGTTCAATTCAAAGATCACGTCGCGCGTACCGTCCTTCTTGGAGATGCCGCCAACCGCGACGAGGCGGACAAATACAGTCTTCCCATGCTCGATCTGGAGCTCAATTTCCTTGTCCACTTGCAGCCCAGTCAAGAACGTGCGCGTGTCCAAAAAGTGGAGCGACCCGTACTTTTCCTTGAACTCCATAAAGTTCTTGAACACGTCAGGGTACATGGCGTGCGAGAGCACGTCCAGTTCCGAGATGTTGTCCGACCCATACGACTCGACGAGGGCGCGGTGGGCTTCGGTAAAGTCATACGGCTCGAGTTCGGCACCAGGGCGGCCTTCGAACACGGACTTGCCGTTCGGGAGCAAGCGGCCCTTGAGCACCTTGGATCGGAGAGCTTCGGGGAAGCCATGGTGGGGAATGCCCAAGTACCCCTGGAAGTACTCGACGACCGACTTGGGGAAGCTCAGGGTCTCGGCTTGGGCGAGGACTTCTTCTTCCGTGAGTTTGTTTTGGACCAAAAATTGGGCAAAGTCACCGACAACCTTGGACGACGGCGTCACCTTGATGATGTCTCCAAGCAGCTTGTTCGCGGTCGCGTACGCCTTTTTGATCGCGGGCCACTGACCCGCCAACCCGAGTTGGTTGGACTGGAACAACAAGTTGGTGTACTGACCACCGGGCATCTCGTGGTGGTATACGTCGGCCGACCCGGACTTCTGGCCCGACTCGAACGGAGCGTACACGCCACGCATGGTTTCCCAGTAGTCGTTGATCTCGTTAATGTGTTCTGGGTTGATGCCCGTGTCGAGTTCGGTGTTCTTGACCGCAGCAACCAACGCACCCATCGACGGCTGCGACGTCGTGCCTGACATGGCATCCGTCGCGCAATCGACGGCGTCCGCACCTGCGTACGCGCACGCGAGCATCGAACTCACGCCAGTCCCGGCAGTGTCGTGCGTATGAACGTGGATCGGCAAGTCGGGGAACTCGGCGCGAATGGCACCGACGAGGATGGTCGCAGCCTGAGGCTTGAGCAATCCTGCCATATCCTTGATACAAAGGACGTGGATCCCGAGTTTGACCAACTCGCGCGTGTAGTTGAGGTAGTAGTCGAGGTTGTACGGGCCACGCTTGGGGTCTGATACGTCGCCAGTGTAGCACACGACAGCCTCGATGATCCCGCCCGAAGCGCCGACCGCGTCAATCCCCAGGCGCATGTTCTCGATATAGTTGAGCGAATCGAACACACGAAACACGTCCATGCCGGTCTGTTGCGCCTTTTCGCAAAACTTGTACACGACATTGTCCGGGTAACTTGTGTACCCGACAGCGTTCGCACCGCGCAAAAGCATTTGGAACGGAATGTCCGGCACGAGTTCGCGCAAGTTTGCAAGACGTTCCCACGGATCTTCACGGAGGAATCGCATGGCCACGTCAAACGTGGCACCGCCCCACATTTCAATCGAGTACGCGTCACGAAGTGCGATGGCTGTAGCCGGCGCAATCGCTTCCAAGTCGCGCGTGCGCACACGGGTGGCCAGCAACGACTGATGTGCATCGCGCCACGTCGTGTCGGTCAAGAGCAGTCCCTAAATTATCATTAGAGACAAGGCGCACAATTTTTTCGCTGAGAATGGCAGGTACCTTGTGGTCACGCACAGCCTTGGCAAACGCAGCAGGGCCTTCCGACTTGTAAATCTGGCGGAGCGACTTGCCTTGGCGAGCAGGCCCTGCTGGGAGCACGGGGATGATAGGGTCCATCGGACTCGGGGCCGGGCCAGTCGCACCCAAGTCCTTCTCCGGGCCGTTCACGATGGTGTTCCCAATGTATCGGAGCATCTTTTGCCCACGATTGGTGGACTTGGATGGCGCGACCAAGTGCGGGTTATCTGCAATGAAAGAAGTGTCGATGTGGCCCTTGACAAAGTCGGGGTGCGACAGCACATGCTGCAAGAAGCTCTTGTTGGTGGTCACACCGCGAACCCGGAACTCGGACAGCGCGCGCTTGAGCTTACGGACTGCATCTTCGCGTTGGAGCGCATGGGCCGTTACCTTCACCAGGAGCGAGTCGTAGTGGGGCGTGATGTGCGCGCCGACAAAACCCGGGCCATCGTCGAGGCGAATGCCCATGCCACCAGGCGATCGAAACACTTCAATCACACCCGAGTCCGGCTGGAAGTCAAGCGATGGGTTTTCCGTCGTCACGCGGCATTGCATGGCGTGGCCGCGGACACTGATATTGTCCTGGACCAGACCAAGACTCTCAAACGACTCGCCATTGGCGATGCGGATCTGGCTTTGCACCAAGTCGATGCCCGTGATTTCTTCTGTGATGACGTGTTCCACTTGGATGCGCGGGTTCACCTCAATGAAGTAGTGGCGGCCTTGTCTGTCCACGAGAAACTCGACTGTCCCCGCGTTCTTGTACTTGGCCGCTGACGTCAACCGAACGGCGTCGTTGATCATGGCTTCTTCGACCTCTTTGGGCAGCCCCACGGCGGGCGCCGTTTCGAGCACCTTTTGGTGACGACGTTGCACTGAGCAATCACGATGGTACAAGTGCACGACCTTTCCATTGCCGTCCCCGAGGATCTGTACTTCGATGTGGCGAGGCTTGTACACGTAGCGCTCAATGAAGACAGTGCCGTCACCGAACGCGGCCAACGCTTCGGAACTGGCACGCGTAAAGTTCGATTCCAACTCCTCAGCACTGTTCACGACGCGCATACCCTTGCCACCACCGCCCATACTGGCCTTGATGATGACGGGGTACCCCACACCCGAGTCAATAAATTTGCGCGCTTCTTCCAACGTCGACACGGGGCCATCCGTCCCCGGCACGACCGGAACGTTGTGCTTGATCGCGATCGCACGCGCGGCAGTCTTGTCCCCAAACATGGCCAAGTTTTCCGGCGTCGGACCCACAAACGTGATGCCATTTTCTTTGCATCGTTTGGCAAACTCGACATTTTCCGACAAAAACCCATACCCCGGATGCACGGCGTCGACGTGGTTGTCCTTGGCAATTTTCACGATGCCTTCAATGTCCAGGTACGCTGCGACGGGGCTTTTCCCTTTGCCAACCAGGTACGACTCGTCCGCTTTGTATCGGTGTTGTGTGAATCGATCTTCGTTGGAAAAGATGCCGACCGTGCGGAGACCCAATTCATTGCCAGCACGCATGATACGCGTGGCGATTTCGCCACGGTTCGCAGCCATGAGCTTACGAATGTGACTCATATCACGGGTGAGCATCGAGTGCTGCGACGGCTTGGGCTTGATGTGCTGCAGGCGACGGTACATGGTGGATCGCGGCGTCTTCTGCGCTCCGCTCGTCAAGTCGAGAAGTGAAAACTTTAGGATATCCTTTCCTTGGAAAACCTGTTTAAATGAATACATTGCCGCGCCCCGTTACAGATTCAGCCAATCAGATGCCATGGTACTGCATTTCGCACGTTGATTGGTGGATTTGAGACACGTCCAAAATTGCACAAACTTCCGTCGACATCCTATTATCTGGGCATATTCGCCATGTAATCCCCGAAGCAATCAATGCACAATAGCTGGGCACGTGATAATTGTTGATTCTGTTTTGATTTTGTGTAGGTGTCCGTCTCGTCGTGTCGGAATGCGAAAATACAGCAACCGGTCTACACGATGGAGCAGCGGAGGCAGCATCACCCTGTGTAGGAGGACCGCGGTGGCGATGATTCTACTTGATTGGTGGAATACAAAGCAATTAGCCAATCAGATTGCTTTCATACTCGTGAGGCCGAAGCGTCAGACTATGGGCGGTGAATTTCATTCGCTCATGGTGGGATAATATTTTGACAAGTTTCCTACGATATTCTATCGCAAAATGGTGGAATTTTATTCTGGCCAGTATGATTCATATACAAAGTTGGGCCGCTGGCGCTCCGATCAACGAAACCCTTTAAATAAATATGTCGTGGCCTTCCCACGTTTCTTTGCGAACTGACGCTCTTGGCACGACCGCGAGGATGAATCACTCGACGCGATTGGCTTGGCCGCCGTGACTGCGCGTCGTCACCCAAGACTTCACTTCGTACCTTTGCGCATGTGGCCCTGTTAGTGCCAACCTCCCTCCTCATCTCGCTCGAGGCGCGGTGTCGCTCCCGTCTGCCTCAACCAGCTGCTCACAAAACTGTAGCCTGACAAGCCATGCATGTTCAAGGGATTGATCTACAAGACTCGTGAATATGCCACGGCTGACGGTGGTAGAGCGAAGAGGTCGTCGAGCCACGCGAGGGAGTTGCTTTCAACGCTCAAGTCGTCCAACATGCCTGCGTGATTGGGTTCCAAGGCGGGGGAAAAGGGCAAGTAGCTATCCAACGACGCGTTGCGCTCAGCTCTGGCCGTGCAATGCAAACCTTGCGGCGAAACATGACCCGGACAAGCCATTATCTTCACAGATGGGACGACCGCTACTTGCATCGGCGGGATGCGGTGTGGGCGTCGTTTGGCTGTGACAAGATGCAACAGTTCAGGCTTATGCTCGACGAAGTGTGGGTGCCAGTAAACGCAGCCACCGGAGGGAATGTTGTCGCGAATGGGCTTCTTTCGAAACCCGTAGTAATTTAGCTGTCGTTGGAAGCTCGACCATTGCTTGTGGCGAAAATACCGTGGCAGGACGTGCTGGCTGAAGTAGTGCATGCTGTGGAAGTGAATGCACGTTCCGTTTTCAGCCCACGTGACTGCAGTGTCTTCGTTTGCAAGCATCTGCGCAAGAGTTGACAGAAAGCGAGGCTGGTTGGCTTTTGCAGACTGCATGGCGCTTCTCACGGCACGCAAATGGGCGACAACGACGCCATGCCCTAGCAGATCGTGCGACGAGGTGTGCCAAACGTGAAACCGCCAATTCAAGAGCCGGATATCCGGATAAACCTCCTGAAATGGATGTCTGCCTCTCAATCATTTATAAACAGAATGTTGATCCCGACTGCATCCGACGTTGGTCGCATTTTTGGAACGATGTACGAGGTGGTGCTGCATGTGTACGACTTGACGCGCGGCATGGCGCGGCAGATGTCGCCTGCGTTGCTGGGACGCCAGATCGATGGAGTGTGGCACACAGGAATCATGGTGTACGAGAAGGAATACTTCTTTGGAGGCGGAATCCAGGCGATCCACCCGTCCTATGTTGTCGAAACCTACGGTCAACCTGTCCAAGTCCTCCGACTGGGTTCGACGCAAGTTCCGCCTGAAGAATTCAACGCGTTCCTCCACGAAGTGAGTCCTCGGTTCACAGCCGCCACGTACAACTTGCTCACGAATAACTGCAACAACTTTTCGAACGAAGTTGCGCTATTTCTCGTTGGCAGCGGCATACCCCAGCACATCTTGGACCTCCCGAATGAAGTCCTGTCGACTCCCATGGGGTACATGCGCCACACCCTGGCTTCCTCTCGTGATTTTGCGCTTCCTTTTCACGTAGTGCCATGTTTCGCCCGATGATTGAGCAAATGCAAGCAAATATGGCTGTCAACGTTCAGTCGCACGGCGGCGGGAATCCGTTTCTTGCATCTACTTCACTTCCCCCTCCTCCATCTCGTGCTGCTGCGTAAGTTGATATCACGTGTTGTTGGCACGCCGGTCTCACGTCGGCATGTAGATCCGTACCTGGACCGTCACCGTTCAAATCCCTCGACAGCTACGTGCGACCTGTCGTCTCTGGCGAGCCTACTCTGCACTTCGATCGCATCCTTGCAAACGTGACGGCCTTCCATTCGTTTTCAGCGGAGGAACTTGCCGCGTTTCAACGCTTGGCGACCCATTCCCCAGCCAGTTTGGACGCCCAAGTCATTCAGGTCGACAGGTATCGATTTTCCGACCTCTGCAGCCTAATCCATGTCTCTGTGTAGATCGCTTTGGTGGCAAGCGCTTGTCCCCGTGCTGACGCAAAACACTAACCCCTTCATGGCATTGTGTCTGCTGCGGGCAGTTCTCGCCGCCGAAGTCGCGCTTAATGCGCCATCCACCCCCGACGCGGCGTCCTCCGTCATTGCATGGCTAGTGGATCACGTGGATCAAGCATCCAACAACTCGTCGTTTTCATCGGCGCTCCGCATCGTATACCTGAGCTCGTTTGTCAACCTCCTCGCGGCGCCATCGACTTCGACGCTGCTCGCACCTCATGCGCTTCGCTTCTTGCCGTTTGTGTGGTCGACGTGGCACCAGCTCCCGCCTTCCCATCCAGCCGCAACTGTCGCTGCTGCCGCTGTCTTCAACTTCACTCGATTGTCGGACGTGGCGTTGGACTGGACAGTGCAGTTTACTGTCGTCGGCGGAATCGCGGAATCGCTGGACGTGTATGCATCGACCGACTCTATCAATGAACAGGTAATCAATCGTCTGGATAGTTCTAGTGGTCTTGTTAATACGGGTGCTTGTCTAGTCGGTGGAGCGGTTGATTGCAGCTCTGGGACGGTTGCTGCAGCAATGTCCTTCAGCGCGCCCGCTGGCCGGCGAAGTAGGTCTCGTCCACGTCTTGGCACGGCTCAAACCAAGGGTGGCGGCCACGACGCATGCTGCGCTGGCTGCTCATGTATTATCGCTGATCTGACAGGATTGCATGGAACGATTCCCCACTCGAACGACATTCTCCTTCATATCTGTGCCTAAGCTAGGAGGGATGCATGCCCATCAATATTTCTACCATCTTCTATCGAACCAATTCGAGTTGCTTTATTTGCATGGTGGCCGAGAGCTGCACCGACGACGGCCATGTGTCGGGACATTTACAGGTCATTGCCACTCGCGAAGACGACACCATTGACGCTGGCTGAAACTTGAGAAGGGCCATTGGCACCTACGTTTCTTGATTGCTAGCAGCCTACTACACATTCATCCCGCGCGTGATGTCCAGCGAGATTGGGAGCGACAAGATGGCGCAACTGCCACCCTGGTACATGAATCGCTCAATGCGTGTGTTGTTGAAATATTTTTTTAACTCATTGAAGTCAATATTAAAATCAAGTTGGAATGTTGTCAATAAATGAATCCTGGTATATGAGAATTTGTAAGGAATGAATTCAGGTCGTGGATTTCGTGATACTTACTCGGATCGACATGCGGGTCATCAAGGCGTACCTTGGGAAGGTCAGGCAGGGCCATCGCAATCGGAAGGCGACGAAGGCTCTGCAGCAGAAGAAGGACAACGTGACGATGATCGTCAACAACTTTGAGGCTCTGTCGATCTCGGACAAAGAAGCTGTGATCACGCGGGTGCTGGCAAACCACAAGAAGGATTTCAACCTGGAAAAGCACTTTGCTGACGCAGACGTGAACCAGGACGGGAAACTGACTGCGGTCGAGTTTCATTCGTACATCTCTTCACAGTTCTTGCCCAAGACGTTGTCGACATCGCTTGGGCATAGCTCGTTGGAGCCCCCGACGGCGCATCAGCTGCGTCTTGTCATGCTCGCTTCCGGCATTCCGTTCATCGGGTTTGGCGTCGTGGACAACCTCATCATGCTCTTGGCAGGCGATTTCCTTGAAACCAACATCCGGCTCATGCTGCCGATCTCGCTCGTTGGGGCCGTCGGTCTTGGCAACTGCGTCGCCGACGTTGCTGGGCTCAGCCTCGGCGGGGTCATCGAGTCGTTTGCTCGAAAGCTAGGCATCCAGGACCCCCAGTTGTCATCGACTCAAGCTCGCATGCCACATGTCCGTGCGATCAGCTATGCTTCACAGGCAATCGGAATCTCTTTCGGATGCCTCGTCGGGATGTTCCCGCTCTTATTTATGAACTTTGACGACGAGGACGAAGACGAGGTGAAGAAGGCCGTGAAAAAGCGATACCGTGTGCGCATGTCTGCGCCGCCAGAGCACACCGCCGAAGAAGATGCGATCGATGCCGCACTGGAGTAGGAAGCCAAGCGCTTTCGACCAAAGCACGTCGACTTTCTTCAGTAGTTGGTCATAAACGTACTTGAGGGGCAATGTAAATCCTTCCAGAATGGGACTACGTACTGTCCACCACCCTGCTCACGAGCTCACGTCCACCAATGGGTCAACTCATCATGAACAAAGCTCTCGGTGCCGTGAGGTCCCTCAAGGATGACAGTCGACGTTCATTGCTACTTTTATCCCCTTCTTTCACCCGACAAACTCATGCAGTGCGCAATGAGCCATTGCTCGATGTCGTCGAACGCTTTGAAACGAGTTTGCAGTTTCAACACCAAGTAATGCCCTTCGTGCCATCCGACAGAGACCTCCACGGGAATTTGCTGAATCGACCCAAGTTGCGAAGCACCCGGTACCCATTGAGGCGATCCCAATGGCTCCATTGGTCTGTCCATGTGCCATGCTACACCCAGCATGACTGTCGAGCAGCATGCCTTGAACACGAGGGTTGAATCTCGGCCGTGTGGAAAGCTGACTGGATAAATCAGCACACGGCCACGATGTGCTTCGAGGACGTGGTTGGATTACGAGGCTTTTGGGGGTGTCACCGTTTCATTGTCATCGCTTAACGACCTGGGCGATCACCAGGCGATCGATCATGCCCTGTCACCGGCGCACCCACCTGCAGTTCCACTTGAGGGCGTTGATAATCGAAGGAAAGCAGCGTCTCCGCCACTGCCATTGCCGGTGGTCGCGCAGCTCCGCCGAAACAGTCGGCGATTTGAAACTGTCACTTTCTCTAATTGGTCCGGTGGATCACTATCAACCAATCAAATCGCGTACTCCCCATCGCCTCGCACCTGACAGCGAAACCAACTCCTGACCGAGCCAACTCCCCACCTCCTCACGCGACGGCAGCCATGGTCGCTGATAGAACAAGCTGCCAAGGGCACACCAGTTTGAGATTTCAACCACCATGTCCACTGCCTCCACTCCGTCGTCGCCGATGTCGCACGACCTTCCGTGCACGAAGAAACGAAAGGTCGGAGTCCCCAAGTTCCTTCGCTATTTGTACCAGATCCTGGAGAAGGAGGACAGCACGGTGATTGCATGGGCGAACGGCGGGTCGTCGATCCAGATCCTTGACACAGATCGCATGGCCCAGTATATCCTGCCAAAGTACTTTAAGCACTCCAAATACGCGAGCTTCCAGAGGCAGCTCAACTATTTTGGCTTCCGCAAGTGGACCAAGTCTCAAACCAACATCTGCACTTTTTCCCACCCCGATTTTCGCCAGAATCGCCCTGACCGACTCTACCTGATCAAACGCAAAAACAGCCCAGAGACCTCAAGGAAGAAGCTCCCGACTGTGAAGTCGTCATCCAGCACACACACTCCCATGGCTTCCATCAGCAACAACAACAATTCCGCGATGCACTTCCGACCGTCCCACACACTCATGCATCTGAACGCGTTGCCAGACTTTCTTAGCGCCACGACATTGTCGGGAACGACCCCCAGCTCGTACCATCGCATGTTTCCATCCCCCACAGATTTTGACAAGAAAGACTTCAAGCAGCAACAGCAGCCGTACTCGATGGGCGACATTGAGAACCTCCACATTCAAACGGACGGACCGAACTTTCATTTGCTCGACATGAACTCGATCTTTGCGCCGACGCCGCTGCTGCCGGATATGAAGGACGACCTCTCCACCACGTCCAACCAGTTTGATTTTGACATGAACTGCGCTTGGCTGGACAATTTCAACCCGACCGACTCCGTCACCAACGCATTTGGCCAGCCCGAGTATGCGTAGCCATCCATCCCATCTGCATTTTATCAAGTAGTACACAACTCGATAGACAAACTAAATCATGGTTATATCCCAAATCGACACGAGCTTTGGCGATTCATACATCCGCCTCAGACGTTGAGCTGCCAAACTTGACGCGTGTTCGTTGCCCAAGGCCACGTGAGCGACCGAGCGTTGTGTAATGAAGAAGTTGGGGCGAAACTTTCGGGCCTCCCTATGATTCGATCCCAAAGTTGCCTTATATTTGAATGACCAGCGACTTTGACGAGGCAACTCCGATCGCTGCCTCGAATCTCCTTGTCGTAGAAGCTTCGCAGCCAGGTAGCCATGTACCACTACAAGGAGCGCCAAGGCAGTGCCGACAGTAGAACGAAGGCCTTCCAGTCCTCCAAACCTACCAACCTCCTCCTATAATCTCTACATTCATAGCATCTTCTTCGATTGCTCCCCGTCGACAACGATGCCAGGGATATTGAAAAGCAAACTCGACTTTGTACGTGGGCCATGATATACGGCATATACGACGATCATGGCAAACCTCTGGGGCGATGCATCATCTAATCTAGTCTGGCGTCGCGATGCTAACAGCCGCATGCCGCTCGAGAAATTTACAAACTTGGGAATTGTCATGCTACTAGCGAAAAGTGGTCAAAATTGCCCAAGAGTGTTGTCTTGATACTGGTCGACTTCAACTCATTCTTCCAATCAGGTTGAGGACTGAACAAGCCAATCAAATGCTTCTACTCAACTTTATTGTCCATATTTTAGCCAATCCTACCTTAACTCGCCCCCACCGTACAAACCCATTCGATACCAATTCTCACCAACAAAACTCGCTTGGGGCTCACACCGACGGCACAATGGTGCGTGACCGCTCCTTTCCGAAGGAGTGAGCTGATGATGGTATCTAGGTGATGAACAAGAGCAGCAAGATGCTCAACTACATCAACTACCGCATGAAGGTGACACTGGCCGACGGACGGACGCTGGTTGGTACCTTCATGGCATTTGACAAACACATGAACTTGGTGCTCGGGGACTGCGAAGAATTTCGAACGCTCAAGAACAAACTCAAGGGTGCCGCTGCCTCCGTCAAGGAAGAGCGAGTTCAGAAGCGTATGCTGGGCTTGGTGCTTCTCCGTGGCGAAAACGTCGTGTCGTTGACGGTGGAATCCCCCCCTCCTGCGCATGAAGCAGAAGGGTTGGGCAACATGGGTCCTGGCTTTGGTCGGGCGGCAGGTCGCGGATTGCCTGCTGCGCCCATTGGCATTCCCATGGGCTTGGCTGCCCCCATGCGTGGAGTTGGCGGTCCTGCTGGCATGCTGCAGCCTGGTCAAGGTACGTCTACGTCCACTCCCACAACACTTATTGGCAGCACTCGCAGCAACTCGAGTTGGCAAAGAAGTCGATGGCATCTCAACCCCTTCCACGTGATTGCAAGGAACAGATAACAGACAAGCTTCACAGCTTGGTTGACGCTCCAAACTTACTACCAAAAAACTTACTACGATTGATCTTAGTATGATGGAAGAGGGCCATTCCGTTACTCTCAACGTCGTTGCGAGTGCTGCCATGGCCATCCGATCGTTCTAACCATCTCACACCGCTTTCTGTGTTCTAGTGGCTGCCCAAGCTCCGGCACAGTCTTATGGCCGTGGTATCCCTCCGCGAGGGCCTCCCCCTGGGATGCTTCCTCCGCGCGGTCCACCGCCACCGGGCATGTACCCTCCTGGAATGATGCCTCCTGGAATGATGCCTCCTGGCATGCTTCCTCCAGGAATGCGACCCCCCCCAGGGCTTAGCATGCCGCCGCCTCCAGGTGGCCCTCCAATGATGCGTCCTCCTCCGGGCCAATAATTACCAAACCCATTGTTTTTCAACGTGGTTTCGTGTTGTTTATGTCTACCACACGTCCATTCGAGGCAGTTGCGATCCATTTAGCACATGAGAGACTACTTCGACAGAAAACAACTCACACCAACGGTGTCTTTTCATCCGCGACGGCACCGACGACCTTAGCCGGCTTCTTGAGAAAGTTGTCGGTAATCTATCGAGTAGCTGCATGAAATCGATGCGAATCACACCAGTCGGCGTACCCAGAATTGAAGCGCGTTCATCAGGCATGGACACGCGACCATGACGAAGAGGAGCTCAACCTTGGGGTAGTTGGACAGCGGGTCGAACAACCAGTTGCCAAAGTCGTTGAGCGGAGCCGAAAACGCATAAATGAAGCGCGCGATGACGAGCTTCGCCGTCAAGACAATCGCAATCCAAGACAGGAGCTGGGTCAACCACACTCTAGCACGCCAGACGGTTCAGTTCGGGGGTGGAAAGATAGGGTGAAGCACCTCGTGCGGATGGGATTGCCATAGTACCCGGGCACTTGGAGCCACGTCCAGTTGAAGTGCAGCTGATGGCGATCCATGAACAAGACTGTGGCAGAGGGACGGTGATTGGTTTACATACCGCGGCCGCTACGGTCGTGCGCAAGAGAACCCAGTTGAGAAGTACACCCAAGCTCGTGTCGAGGGTAAAATTGATGAAGTAGAACGAGCACTAGCATGATCGAGAACAGGTTACGAATCGACCTGGGCACAGGAGTGGGTTTTACTTCGTCCTTGGCATCGTCAGACTTTGAAAGCTTGACTAACATGATTGCGATGAACAAGTTGGCGGCGTGCGCGACACCGGCACCGATGGCTTGCTTGGACGCATCGTAAGCCCATACCTACAATGGCATGAGGACCTGGCTGACCATCAAGTGAGAAACCTGGAAGGGCCGCTGGGGCTTTTCGTACGCACGCTTCAGCACAAGTACCGAGAGACCAACGATGCCAAGGCCTACTTGGACCAGCGTCTCGAAGGTGCCGCTGATGAGTTTGCAGTTGTTTGCTTCGTGGACGGTCTGGTTGACGGACATGACGACGCGCAAGGGAAAGTCGTGACTGGGATGACGAAGGTGCTGGTCGATCTGATTGGCTACCCCTTTGTTAATCAAACAATATTCTATCATCTAGTTATTTGTATGCTCCCAATTCCTGGCAAATAGTATAAATATACCAACGCTCTGCTCCAATGCTCTGCTTCGTGAAATTGAAAAACGATTCTAAAGAAAAGATATTTATAAAATTTCGATGACATGTCATTACACTTGACCAAGATCAACTCGATTGGACTCCAGTAATTAAACAACTACTAGTAAATGATGAAAAATCAAAAATATCCAAAACTGCAATTTTTCCATAGATCAAGATATTTTCACAGCTAACGAAGGTCCTGTTTACATTACGTGCTCTACGATGACGGTGCATACACAAGGGCCGCGGCACAGCGGCGGCGCGCCGTTTGCATAGACGAAAGCTCGGTCCACTTGTTGGTGAGGGTGTCGTACAGATAGAACGCCTTCGACCACACGCCTTTGGTAATCCCTCCGTTCACGTACACAGTGTGTCCGAAAGCATTCGCGTCAAAACAGAACCACTCGGCGAGCGGCAGTGGCGCCAGCGTCGTGTATGAGTCAGCAGCCGGATCGTAACGAAGCACCGATTTGCCATGGAGAAATACAAAGATGAACGCACCGACTGTGACGGCGCTGCAAGGACCAGCCGTCGGAAGCGGCGCTTTTCGCGTCCACGCATTGGTCGTTGGATCGTAAGACTCCACGGCGTCGCTGTACCATTTCTTGTGCTTGTCATCGTGGTCGTCGCCGTTTCCGCCAAACACATACAACTTGCCGGCAAAAGACGTCGCCCCGAGGAGGCGACGAGGCACTTCCATTGGTGTGCATGTCGTCCACTTGTCGTTGTCGATATCGTATTGCTCCAAGACTGGTGAACATTTGGATCCATTCACCCATCCACCCACGCAGTAGATGCACTTCTGTTCAGGCACGTACACCACAGCGAGAGCATGTCGGTAGGTGGTCATGGGGGCAATAGCAGTCCACTTCTCGCCGGGGATCTCAAGTTTCTCGCACGTGGCAAGGTTGGAGCGAAATCCACCCCCGCCAAGGATATACAGAGTGTTCCCAACGCCGACGGCACCATGACTGCCGCGGTTTTCCTGCATCGGCGGGGCCACTTCCCAACACTTGCGGTGAAGAGAGTATCGTTCTACCGACCCGAGCGTTCGTCCACGCAAACGTCCTCCCGTCACGTAGTAGTATACGTTTGTCACATCTGTCTGGGTGTTGAGCAAAGCCGCATTCACCTTGTGCGACGCAAGGTTGACAGCACAGTCTTTGAGATGGCGAAACAACTTGTTGCGCGAAGGAAACGAGCTGTCTCCACAGACATCACACGTCAAAAGAGGGGCCTTATCGGGTGCTGGTTGCGGCGACTGTGGAACAGCCGCTGCATCCCGAGCACTCCCAGCAGCATCGTCCACCTTGCGGATCTTCTTGGGCGGCATGCTGGATGA